TCTCTGCCAATCATGTTCTTGAATTGCTACCAACTCGATGTTGCTCTTGCTGCATCCGTATATAAGTTGGTGAAGTTTTCCAGTTTGTTTGAGAGTACGCACGTTGTAGGTGGATATTGTGATGGCCTTGTGGTGAGTTTTTGTATTTTTTGTGTTTTTGTTTTTATTTGTGTTTGTTCGAGTCGTCGACGCTTTCTCAAAGACAGGTGCCTGCCTTATCATGGGCTCGGATTTTTGTGAAATCCTCGCATGCATACGACGAGATGAAAGACTGTTACCCGGAATGGGTTCTTCGATTATTGTTTTCGGAGTCATTGTGAAGGTCATCTCGGGTGACTAGCCCTGAGATGCTTACCAGAGCCCATCTTAGCCGTCGTAAAACGACGTTTCCATCCGACACTGCGAGGAAGTGAAGGGTTGGGTTTTGTCGGACGATGCATAGATATTTTCAATTTTATTTTATCAAATGTTGAGAATAGTTGCCATGATTATTTATATCAAGTACAGTCCTTTCTAACAATTTAGTAAAAGTATTTTTGAAGTCTTTTTCGAAAAAATATTTAGCTGCCCTGGAAACCACATGAGTTAATCATATTTCATTTATTTAATCAGTTAAACTACGTTCGATAAAATTAGTTAGCCACAAATTACATAGTAACAGGCTTGGCGAATGTGGCTGCTATGACATTATATTGATGTCTTCTTCTGTCGAATAATTAATCACATCAGATGAGTATGAAGTCAACGGTCATCTTTAAGCAATTTTGTACATTTTGAACCTGACGTCTATGTTTGTTTCCATATTTCATTAACAGAAGAGTTCAAATAATTTTCAATATAATATTTGTGATCTACAATCTTGCCTTTATCTAACTCAGGGCTATTTGATTTAATGAATATACTAAACAAAGTTTTGCTTTACATCTTTCTTCACGAACAATAGTCTTTGACAATTCATCTTCAATAAGCCAGTTAGCATCAGATGACTTATGACTGACCTATGTAAAATAAATCCATATCCCATTACTAGTAATACTAGAATGCAACTGACATGATCGAACAAAATTCCACTAAATTTTTAAAACAAATGGAATATGGTTGGTTCATGTGGTTTCCAAGGCAGCTAAATATTTTTTCGAAAAAGACTTCAAAACACTTTTACTAAATTGTTAGAAAGGATTGCACTTGATATAAATGATCATGACAACTATTCTCAACATTTGATAAAATAAAATTGAAAATATCTCTGCATCTTTATATTTTTATTTAATGCTCTGAGAACTTTTGGTTACCCCTAAGTAAATTCCTCATTGTCTTCGAAATCGGTGGATAGTTTCTGTAATTGTTAGTATGTGTATATTGAGGGTCTCTATATTATTATTGGGAAATTACTGGGTATTTGTCAAAATCCACGGTGAAACCGCCAGGAATCACAGCAAACAAAATTTCCCATTGAAGTTCATTTACTTGATCTTCTTCACTTCATCATTTCAACAAACTAGGGAAGTAACGTTGTAACGCTGTAAATTACTCCGTTACCGGATCACTTCCATATTCATCTCCATACCTTAGTTTATTTGTGACACTCCACGGCGATTCCATCGCGGATTATGGAAAACCATGAAATTTTTAAAAGTAATAATAAATATCTATTGGATCGTACGAATAGATAAAACCTTCAATAAAAGTTTATTAGTGTGATTATTCATTAAGATAATCGAAAGTATTTGGTATTTGTAGATAATATCCATCTTTTGATTGATTTCAATGCCATCATCTACTATCATTGATATTCTAAAACCTATTGATTATGATGAAGATCCTGAAAGATTCAAGTCTATAAGTATAGTTATCGTATTAGATACTGATAAAAATCATGAAAAAATTTATATACCAGATGGTGATATTTTCTACATTGTGGAGAGTTTACAAAGAAAAATGATTGGCAAAGTTTAACAAATAATCAAATTCCACAATCTACAATTGATTTTAATCCATAGTTGGAAAGATTAACACATAAACATAAAATTGTTATTTGTGGAAACAATGAACTTGGTTTTGAACATTGTTCAAAAGAAGAAATTCAATCAAAATTATTAACTAATGCTACACTTACAAGATGAATTAATTCAAGTCGAAGATATAGCGATTTATCGTTGCTCATGGCAATTTAATGAACATTATGCGAGAAGATGATCATCGATTCCTTAAGATATTAATATATTAATGACAAATATTCCTCCACAATATATATTAGATTTAGCATATCAGTCAAAAGAAGTTCCTTCAATGGAACCTTGTTCAATGTGTAATAATACAGTTCATGGTTCCCTTAGACATTGCATGGGATTCAAAATTTTTTATAAAAGAAATTCGTCGAAGAATTCAACCTTGAATTTATTGTTTTGGACATGTTCGTAAAGATAACGACTATAAATATGATCAACATGAAAATAGAACATTCTTTATTAATACAGCAACAGATTTAACAGGACAATCTTTTAAACTGGATTTTATCTTGATTTACGAAAACATTCAAATCCATTTTAAATTCATTTTTAATGAAAGTCAAATATTTTTTCTATTTATCATTGTAGAATCAAATCAAGCATAGTACAAATGAACAGATAATAATCGTGCTGTGGAATGTACTTCAATTTGTATTACTGACCTCAAAAAATATTTGATGTTTGAAATCAATGTGTGTTCGGTTTTGGTTTAAATAATTCTCAGTGGCATGAAAATCAACATTGGAGAAGTTTATACGACTGAATAGTTTTTGCAGTTGTTCATTATAAGTTTCATACTGAATATTAACCCTGCCGCAGAGATGGTTTCCACCGGTGAGACCCACGATACTTTAACAACAAACTGAATAGAAAAACACTTTCTTTTCTTTTTTTCTCGGGATGGAGGTTACATGCAATGTATCATCTACTCTGCCTCGCTATTGTTTGAATTATTTATTGCGTAGCGTGATGTTTCTTGTTGAAGCAACCAAGGCAATAAAATTTGTCGCAATCACAACAGAATGTTTTTATTTTCTTTGTTGTTGCATTACTTGCTTCTTTTGATTGTTGTTGCCTGATTTTCTCGTAGCAACCAACATAGCGATTTCGGGCATCGTGGTCAGATTCTTCCCTTTCTTTGAGCTTCTGATTAGCGAGTTTGCGCTTCGTTTGGCTTGCTGACTGTTGTCTCGGACCAGGTTTCAGATTCTTGAATGGCGCCCCAAGAAGTAAAGATCGCACAATACTTTCACGAAACTGTAGCATCGTTATACGGCTTGTGTCATAATTTCCTTTGTAAATCAACTAAGCATTTACTATTGACATTCCAAATATCATCTCAAATGCCACCTTTTGATACCACTTTTTGGACTGTCTGAGGTATGTATAGTATGTTGATAACTGATCAGATAAATCTATACCTTGTTTTCCTTTATTATACTCGACGATAACTTGTGGCTTCATGATGCATTCATTTGATTTATTGTTTTTTTCGGTATCCATCGCCGTTGCTGAGTGCGATGGTTTTGGGGATATCATCAAAACGTCTCTTTTAACTTTCCACTTGATCAATTTTATGCCGTTTTTGTTCTGGAGTCCATAAACTTCACCACGCTTGAGCCTTTTCTGAACAACTTCATGTCTCGATCTAGCGCGATTACGTCTCAATGTTTCAATAAGATACACATAATTTCGCAATAAACTTTTTGCAAGAGAAATACTGGTAAAGAAGTTGTCAGCTACTATCGTTCGATAGCATCCCAAAAGACCATCTATCAAATCCATTACGACTGCTCGAGCGTGCCCAAGACCAGCCATTGGATCCTGCTTACCATTATAAACCATAAAATTCCAAGTGTATCCATTAGTAGCCGGTAGCTGTTATATCTTTACGCCGTATTTGTGCGCTTTTCCGAGAATATATTGTTTGAACAAAAGTCTGCCTTTCCATGGTACCATTTTTTGGTTGATAGAAATAATTGAGCCAGGAATGTAAATTGACTTAAATCTGACTTTCAATAAACCTAAAAGTGGTTTCAATTTGAGCAATCTGTTTTGGTCTGCATACTCTTCTTCGTTGTTCGAAAAAAGATAAAATTTGAGAAGTAATTCAAATTTATCTCTCGATATTGTATTTTGAATGACTTCGGATCCATGCAACCTGATTTTGCTCCAGTAGTAATCCACTTCCGGCATTTGCACCAATTCCATCTCAATAATAATTCCCAAAAATTTAATGATTTCTTCATGAGTAGTTGGTTTCCATTAAAGAGGTTTTGATCGTTTGCTAAGCTTATGTGTTTGTAAGTGTTGTTCTGCATATCGATTAGTTTCACGAACCATGAGGCTAATAATCTCGTCAGTGATGAAATGTCGATAGCAATCGATAGGATTGGTTGTATTATCTTCCGAATTTGCCGGTACTTCTTCGACGGTTCCATGATCCTCCAAGAATTCAGCATCCGATTCTGATTCTATTTCATTCCAGGCTTGTAAATTCACATCATCATCATCATCATCGGTAACTTCTTCCTCGGAGCTTGAACACTCAAATTGCATTTTGAAAAAATCATTGTCCAAACTGCTCACATTACTCAGTGGGTTATCACTTTTCTGTATGCATTTCTTCAAACAGCATGTAAATTGTAAATTTTGATAAACGTGAGTTCAGTTTATTATTAGTATCATCTCGGGTAGGATGATGAATAATATATACGTACATGGACAAGTTGGAAAAATCCCATATACCATAGGAGAAGAAACGATGGGAAAAAACCAATATATCATGTTGGAAAAGTCCTGGTTACGAATTATGAATATTTCAAACACATGTGAATGCCCTAGAATTCTCTATCTGAACATATATCACCGTAAAGTTTCGGTCTTTTTCATACAAATGAAACGAAAGAGTGAAAACTAATGCTATGAAAAGAATGTAAAAGAAAAAAACTTGAAATTTCGCTTCTTTATTTCGTTCCTACTGTACAATACATGTAACACAGAAAACGACAGACTTGAGTAACTATTCAGTTCGACGTAATAAAAGACCTACTATGTGATGCTACAAACAACAAAAAGAAAAACGAATAGCTGCACATGCTGAAAAGATCCCTGAGAGCGCTTATCGAGCGTGAATACACATGAAAACCAATATATTGAACCTATTTTCTAGGAAAATCGAATCCCCGCGAAAGGGTTAATGAGAAATTCGATAGACCATGTGATAGAAGTTTAGAGCAAGGAAATTTGATCATTATCGAAACATTATGTTCATGAATAGGATGAACTTGAGGAGAACTAATTAAACCAACAATACGTTTTACTTGTTCGTTTATTTGTAATACAGGTGCGTTACGAACTGATTTAGTTCCAATGAGAAATAAAACATTTTGAGATGAAGACAATTAAGATGATACATAGAGAGAAATTAGAATTAAGGAACAGCTTCACAAATGCTTGTGTTATGTATCGACCTATTGTAAATCAAGAATTGATCGAATAATAATCGTATAATGAGATTCAATAATGATTGGATCAATATATTCTCCATGATTAGTAGTCACTGCAGTGTGGGATATGGATGTGTGCGAAGAGAAGTACCTAACAAGCACCCACTCCCAACCCAGATTCACACCCACACTCGAATTTTCAAAGAAGCAAAATTATTTTAAAATTTTTTCTAAATGATATTTCTGCAGAAAAGTTCAATTTATTATATTCAATTCTTCTACAAGTGTAAACGAAATTATGCTGTACGAATGAAAAAATTTCATTTAGCGATCTTTCAGTGATGACTATGCCTAGAATTTATAAGTTCTAAGTTGATACACCAACTAAAAATGTGCCTTTGTGACAGAGAAGAATAATCCTCGAGCTGTCAGCGAAAACGAAAGCCAGTTGCTTAAAAGGTTTCCATTGATTAAAAAGAAGTTTTTTGGACAACAGATCGAAGCGTATTGTTTCTTTATTTCAAAACCATAGTTCGAATTTCTACCAATGGAAATACACATAAACATGTTTTGTTACACAAGCAAACAACGATCGAGTGACGTTTATAATATGAATTTATTTCAATCTCTCTCCAATATAGAGTTGTTCGACGACAGAGAAAGCAGAAAAAAATATGCTAAGAGTTCGATTGCTTGTTTGTTGAAGAAACAATTCTTTTGTTCGATTTCTCCCCTTCTATTTGATGCTGGTTTTAATTAAAGAATTCAGAACTGTATCTGATTAAAAAAATAGAGGAAACCCGAAGATCTTCATTGTATTGATTTTTTTTCATCAGTGACGCACTCTATAAAGGAAGCAATACGTTTGTGTTGAATGCAGAGAATATTCACATGACCTGCTAAATCTATCATAATCATCAGTGCTGAAGATGAAGTCTTCTCAAAGATCTGTTGGATCATTTGATGTGGCATTAAACACATCCAAAATAAAATCATCGACCAAAACAATGTATTGGGAAGAAAGTGATAGCGATAGCGACAATAGGTGAAGCCCATGTTGAATATCGTTATTTAATAACATTATTTATAAAATATGTTTATCTATTTTTTTCTGTAAAACAAAGAACCAAGATAAGAAGAACTGCTCTTTGGTCACCGTGTATCAAATGTTGTATTGTCGGAGCATTGCTCGGTGGAATTGTTCTAGCTGTGCTGCTCACTATGTGGTTGACATCGATATCAGCAAATATGACAACTACACTCGCAGGTACTTTATGATACAATATTATTTTCTGAAATCCTTGTAGAGTTGTCTGCTCCATCATGTTGTCTTAGGCGCTCATGTCCACTACAATTGTTTTCCTCTTGACCAGAATTCGGAGAGACAGGGGGAAAGAACAGTGGATCTGATGCATTCAAGCATCCATGAACAGGATTGTCATATCAAATTTTTAAGATAAAAAAGATTTAAAAATCAGGACATAATCAGATGCTTTGTCTCCAGATACAGAAAAGAAGTAGGAAATTTTGTACAACATTCAGATGACATTAGTGACTCTGTTATTGACAAAAATCATACTTTCTTAATGGCTCTCTTATTGGTAAATAATAAATAAAAAAAACAGCATTTGAAGATGAGAGATCTGTGAAACGACAATCGCAAACGGTCGTATACGGCGTTATAAACGACTCTATGTTATCATATACATTGTAAAACATGATTGCACATGATTATGTACCGAGTCATATATGAGCAACTTTGGTGTTAGTGTAATTAATCTCTACTTTTCGAGAGACTCTTTTCTTAATTCTTTAAAACTAACTGTATTCTACATAGAGCTGCTCCGAATCTGCTACCATATGAGAACATCGGTGAGTTCTCTTAGGAAAGCCGTTAAAAATATCCTAGAGTGTAGCAACAAAAGATGATGAGCTCATTTATTCAGCTACATGACATCTCCCGAGTGTATCTACTGCATATACAACACACGCTTATGTATGAGAGAGAAGAGAGAGAGAGAGAGAGAGAGACATAGATATGAACAGAGGAAAGAATAATAGACAGAAGGATAAAAAAGAAAGAGGAAAGGAAGATCATAGCAGGGGCTGATATCAGTATCGACACACAGAGCGCAAGCATCATTTTCAGATCTACTCGAGAAAAAACGAAAAATTTCCAGGACACTGCACACCGGTCGCTGATCAAGGTATTTTTCTGAATGAAGCTCAAGTGAATTGCGATGCGAAAAAACATGATCTTGAGGAAAATGAATTATCAGAAAGGAGTTTCAAACAACAAATTCAAGTACCAAAACTTCAAAATTAGAAAAGTAAAAAGCAGTCTGACAAGACTGCTGATAGCTAGAGATTTTCTGAAAAATTAAAAATATAGCCGACTCGTTCATGAGCCACAGGTTTAATATTAACAACATGAAAATGAAAGAATTTCCGCTGTACTCATAAAAATGCCATCATCTTCGCTCGTTGCAAAAGACCCACTGCTAAGAGATCATAACTGATTTCCTATACTATTGTTTCAATGCTCTTGTATATAGTTTAAAATAGACTCCTTGAAATATTGCTAAGTTCATGCTTGAGATGGATAAAATGCTGACCGTAATTTTTTCATTGAAATTTCTCAATCAAATAGTTTTAGTTTGAATTTGCAGTGTATATAGATATTCTTTGAGAAATACGGAACTCATAATATGTGCAGTAATGAGTACCCAGGTCAAGAAGTACGGACCAGTTCTGACCAGAATACTGCTTCCATGTTCCGACGACTTCCGATATTTTCCGACAGAAAACGGTGTCTTTCCTGCGAATTCCTATTGAAAATTTACGAATCTGGGCACCAAAATCAACGATCTGGGTAGGCATGATTCATGTGCTAACTAAAAGAGTGAGATACATTGGAATCTTTGCTAGGAAATCGGACTCGAAATTCGTGATTTGACTAGAAGCTCATACTCCGTTCACACTCTCACGACTGATCTTTTGCCTGGAAAGAAAATATCAATTGTTGCAAAAAACTCTTCTCAACTTCTTTTGTATTAGTAATTTTTTATTCAAGAAAATTCTGACACGGTTTTACTTTGTCCTCAACAAATGTTCTTGTTGCGAAGTCGAAGTATGATATAAGAGAGTATTGATTAATGTTGCCATTTTTGCTACCTGTTCTTGCTCAGCTTAGACTTGAATATTTTGGAGGCACCCTTTCTATTGTTAAGACTGAGCATAGGCTCAAAATATGGTTACATCGCCATATTGCCATGAGAAAACACAATGAAAGCCGTGCCATGTAGTTGCTAGCCTCAAATACAGAACGATTCAAGTCTGTCCTATGCCTAATCCTAGTATAGCTTCTGTTTGTGAGCTGTATCAATCAGCATCGTTTTGTACCTAGTTAGGGTGATGGGCAGTATACTGTCAAACAGTAATTATAGTATTGTCTTAGCAACACATTGTTTTTTTTTTTTCAATTCAAATTTTATCAAGCGACTGCATTCACAACAATGGTTACAACTACATCAACTACTTCGGTAACTTCCGCAAGCACAACAACAATCTCGACGACATCATCAACATCAACGGTCACAACCACTACAGCAAGTTCGACGACGTCGTCCACATCAACAACCACAAGCACAACGGTAACCTCCACGACTTCGTCTACATCGACAACGGGAAGCACTACAACAACAGGTATGTCGAAGTAGTACGTTGTGACGCAAAAGTCATCGAATCGCAGTCAGTAACTTTATCGACTACAAGTATATCAGAGTATTTCATCGTTTTTATTAGGTAGATTTAGCGAAATTGACGATTTAGATATCTGTAGAGCAAAAACGTCCGAGTTTGCAAGACTAAATAATTGCTTAAGTTCTAACATCATACTCTGAGCTTTGATTTTCTAGTAACAACATCCACAACGACTACCACGGCCTATGATACATGTGAGAAATGTTTTTTGCAATAGTTGCGCGTATAATACATCATTTTTAGGTCTGAATCTTCGTTGGAATCAAACGGGCGTAATATTCGCTGGAGATGGTACATCTGGCTCGGCTTCTGACCAATTTAAAGATCCTTCATGGCTCTACATGGATACAAATGACACACTGTATGTGTGCGATCATCACAACTTTCGTATTCAAATGTGGTACCAAGGGGCGATAAGTGGTGTCACAGTGGTCAACACTAGCGTCGATGGTTTTCACATCGAGGCTTTTACTTTGGACAAGAATGGCTTTATATATATATCCGGTCATCAAAATCATGCAGTGGTACGCTATCCTCCAAATTCCAATATTGGCACTACTGTTGCCGGACAACTGGGTATCAGCTCAGCAGCACTCGACAGTCTTAATGATCCCTTAGGCGTGACGCTCGATGATGATTTAAATCTTTACATTGCTGATAGATACAATCAAAGAGTTATGAAATGGGCTCCAAATGCAATAGTCGGTACCAAAGTCATTGCAGCCGCGTCCACTGTCAGACTCTATGGAATTTTACTGTCGCTTTATTCACCGGATGAAGTCTATGTTAGCTCTGAAGATAGAGATTCTGTTTATTTATGGAGTTTTAATACATCATTACCGAAAATAACTCTTACTCAAGTCAATAGCACTACTTCAACGCTTAGTTCGCCAAGAGGCATAAAGTACGATGCATACGGGAACTTATATGTTGCCGACAGAGGAAATCGCCGAATAGTGATGTATTGCGCCAATTCAACGATTGGTAGGGTTGTAGCTGGAGGTACTGGCAGTACACCCACTCTTAGCCAACCATATGATATTACGTTAGACTCGAAACTTAACCTCTACGTGGTTGACCAAAATAAACAAGTTGTGATAAAATACGAAAGATTATGAATGAACTTCGCGTTTGTATTTCGATGATTATGACCTCAAGACTAACTATATCCCATTATAAACATAACGTTAATTCCTGTATTCATTCTGAGATTAAAATAAGAATAAATATTCCTTTCCACAGAATTAAATTTACAGGATATTCCAAAAGTCGGCCGAAAAAAGAAATTTGTTATAATTTCACTATTTATCAAACTTGGAAAAGGTGCACTAGAATACCAATCTACATAAGGGAGGATGGTTGTAGAAAAATTTTTGGATTTTGCATTTGATTGTCTCACTTAAAAGGCCATAAGAAATGATTATGAAAACCAAAATATCAGCTCGTTCTAGATTATCTATAAGAAGATGGCAGAGACCTCACTTTTTCGGAGTTTTTTTCTACAAAATAGCCTATTTCTATTATTCGCTGGATGCCATTTTTTATGAAATAGGGCCAAATTTGAAAAACAACGGACGCAGTTGCGATCATTGATTTTCAGTGTCATGGACGAATATCTTATTGAAGTAAGAGATATCAGATGGAATTTTTGATATGTCGTAGCCCTAAGCACGGCACATATTTTGGTATATTTCCCTTCGATAAATTTTACTAGGAGGCGATCAAACTTTTCCACAAATTCCTAGTTTTTGGTGCTATTTTTGTTGATATTGTCATCTTGAACAAATTTGTATTTATTTTGTTATTATTCTTGTCTTTCTTTGGCTTATCTTTTTTTTTCCATTCCACATGTTTTTTTTCTTGGTATGCATTAATTATGGCTACTATATTAGTTACGTCAAAGAACAAACATGATCATAATTGTATTGTTATTCATGACCATATTCAATATCCACCAGTACTTATAGAGTTTTTCTCAGATTTATGTATTAATGCGAAAAATCGAATCGATGGTCTTCAAAATTCGGGGTGTGGGTGGGTGGGTGTGGGGTTTCGAAAGCAAACAAGGCTCACATACACACACCCACTCCCCCACTCCCCCACTCACAACACACCCATATGCACATGCTCGCGGCTCCCACATGGCTGCACGCAAATTTCGCTCTAAAGTCATGACAAAAGATAAGCACTCTAATAAGTTGCATAGCTTCAACAGCTTCAAACGAGAGTAGCTCAAAGAGAAAATGCACAAATAAAATAAACCACAGGATGCACAAATGAGTAAAGGCTTCGTGAGTCGTTTAAATGCAATCAGTTGAAAATAGAACCCATGAGACGACAGCTGAAACGATACAGAGCAAAACAGAACAAGAATAGGAAACACTTCCAAAGGATAGAAAAAAATGTTGGGACAGCAAAATCGAAAATGTGTTATCAAATGCATTTTCTTAGCGAAGATAAATAAAATAAGCTTTTGTGTTGGTATAGGATACGATCCTTTGTACTTCGCGATGTATTTCTTTAAGTATGCGATACAAGCAAAAGTATTGCAGAATGATGCAACGTTAGACTGCGTCACTAACCACATAGTTGCTTCTAATTTACTCAAATTCCTCACTTTTTTAAAATAGAATATCAATTTCTTGGGTATCCGCTTCACTAGATATCGTGACTAGTCACTCGCCGATACCCAGCTTATGGATATTATGACATCTCTGAACTACACTACATAGCGTACGAACTGACTTAACTATTTTCTCATATTTTATTTCAGAAGGGTGTGGGGGGTGTGGGTGTGGCGGGTGTGAATGTGGCTCTGACTATGGCTGTGGCTGTGGGTGAGTGTGGCTGTGGCTGTGGCTGTGGGTGAGTGTGGCTGTGGCTGTGGCTGTGGGTGAGTGTGGCTGTGGCTGTGGCTGTGGNATACACACATTCTGCTGAGTTCATTCATAAGTTTGTTAGCGACCTATATAATCATCTGTGCAACACAGATAACAGTAACTATCTTTCTGATCTTACATCTAAGTATGTCAACATAGCACCGAAAGTCAGCAGAGAGGATTTCGATATATTTTGTAATGCTGTGTGGAAAAGCTCTTTTGGTAAAAAGAAGCTTCGAAGACAACTCTATGTTTATTATACAAAGAGTACAAGAGATCGTAGAGCTTTAATACAGGTTTATGCTACTGTTGGTATTCTTACAGTCGAACGTATTGACATGCTCAAATGGCTTGAAGATAGCTGGGAAGGTTAAGATTGGATCTATTTTAATAATATGTACCAAGTGTCAAATCCAGATGTTTTTGAAAAGTTACTCCAACCTTTGAATTTGGTGACATATGATACTATATGTAAAGGTTTTTCATTTCTGTTGAGATTACTTATTCAGCTCGCTAAAGCTCATGTTGTATCTTTGTTGACGTGTCTTCTCATTTGCGAACATAAAATCGAAATTAAAAAACTTTTAAATTAAAATTTAAACTTTTTCTCCATTGAAACGATTCCAGTTGAAAATAATCTAAAGTTTTAAATTTTCGTTCTTAAGTTACTAGACATATACTGAGAACAATTTTAATAAAGTTGATATCTTCAATATTATAACTATCTGTAATTTATACAGTTCGCTAAGTATTGAGTTCGACTAGTTCAATAAAATAAGCTGTAATTTGCAGAGTTCGCTAAATATAGTAATGCTTGCTATTTTTTTCAATTTAATTAACTGCATTTTATAGAGTTCACCAGAGATAATTGTTACTATGAATGTCGTGCACTATTTTCGAATTTGAACGCACGATCTAATTGTCATTACAAGATGAAATCAAACATCGAATGGAGACAACTAATTGAGGTGTAAAGGTATTTATATATAAAACTCAAAAGTACAAAAGATAATGTTCGAAAAAAGACAGTTTTGAAACATTGGTATTGATGAAAGTCTTCACTGGACGAACGCAATCGGTCTGTCCACATTCCATTGGAAATAAATATCGAATTGCCGCAACAAATTATGATACAACCTCTGTAAAAACTCGCATTGTCTTTAATTAACCCTTTCGTGGCGATGGTTCCCACCCGTGGGACTCACTATATTTTAACAAGAAACTGAATAGAAAAACACTTTCTTTTCCTTTTTTCTCGGACAGGAAGTTACACGTAATGTATCATTTACTCTGCCTCGCTATTGTTTGAATTATTTATTGCATGGCGTGATGTTTCTCGTTGAAACAACCAAGACAATAACATTTGTCACAATCAGAACAGAATGTTTTTATTTTCTTTGCTATAGCATTACTTGTTTCTCTTGATTATTGTTGTCTGATTTTCTCGTAGCAACCACCACAGCGTCTTCGAACATCGCGGTCAAATCCTTCCTTTTCTTCGAGCTTGTAATCAGCGAGTTCGCGCTTCGTTTGACTTGTTGACTGATGTCTCGGACCAGGTTTCAGATTCTCGAATAGCTCACCAAGGAGTAAAGATTGCACAAGACTTTCACGAAACTGTAAGATAGTCATATGGCTTGTGTCATTATTTTCCTTGTAAACCAAATATGCATTAACTATTGTCATTCCAAATATCGTTTCAAATACCACCTTTTGATACCATTTTACAGATTGTCTGAGGTATGTATAGTATGTTGATAACTGATCAGATAAATATATACCTTGTTTTCCTTTATTGTAATTGAGGACAACGTGTGACTTCATGATGCATTCATTTGATTTATTGGCTTTTTCCGTGTCCACCACAGTTGCTGAGTGCGATGGCTTTGTGGATATCATCAAAACATCTCTTTTATCTTTCCACTTAATCAATTTTATGCCGTTTTTGCTCTGGAATCCATAAACCTCACCACGCTTGAGCTTTTTCTGAACAACTCCATGTTCTGATCTAGTGCGAACACTTCTCAATGTGTTAATAAGATACGTATCATTTTGCAATACACTTTTTGCAAGAGAAATACTTGTAAAGTTATCAGCTACTACAGTTCGATAGCATCCCAAAAGACCATCTATCAAATTCATTACGACTGCTCGAGCATGCCCAAGACCAATCATTGGATCCTGCTTACCAGTATAAACCATAAAATTCCAAGTGTATCTATTGATAGCCGCTAGCTTGTATGTCTTTATGCCATATTTGTGTGCTTTTCCAAGAATATATTGTTTGAACAAAAGTCTGCCTTTCCATGGTACCATTGTTTCGTTGATAGAAATAATTGAGCCAGGAATGAAAATCGACTTAAATCTGACTTTCAATAAATCTAAAAGTGTTTTCAATTTGAACAATCTGTCTTGGTTTGCACTCTCTTCTTCGTTGTTCAAAAAATTATAAAATTTGAGAAGTAATTTAAATTTATCTCTCGACATTATAATTTTGAATGACTTCAGATGCATACAACCTGCTTTTGCTCCAGTAATAATCCACTTCCGGCATTTGCACCAATCTCATCTCAATAATAATTTCCAAAAATTTAAGCATTTCTTTATTAGTACTTCGTTTCCATTGAAGAGTTTTTGATCGTTTGCTAAGCTTCTGGATTTGTAAGTGTTGTTCTGCATATCGATTAGTTTCACGAACTATGAGGCTAATAATCTTGTCAGTGATGAAACATCGATAGCAATCAATCAGATTGATCGTATTATCTTCCGAAGTTGCCGGTACTTCTTCGATGATTCCATGATCCTTCAGGAATTCAGCATTCGGTTCTGACTCTATTTCATCCAAAGACTTGTAAATCCACATCATCATCATCATCATCATTAGTAACTTCTTCCTCGGAGCTTGAAGATTCAAATTGCATTTTGGAAAAATCATTGTCCAAACTGCTCAGGTCACTCAGTGAATTACCACTTTCCTCTGTATCCGTTTCTTCAAACAGCATGCAAATTGTAAATTTTGATAAACCTGAGTTCAATTTATTATTAGTATCATCTCGGTTAGGATGATGAATAATATATATATGGACAAGTTGGAAAAATTCTATATAGCATAGGAGAAGAAACGATGGGAAAAAACTAATATATCATGTTGGAAAAATCCTGGTTACGAATTATGGATTTTTCCAACACATCTAAATGTCCTAGAATTCTCTATCTGAATATATATCACCGTAAAATGTCGGCCTTGTTCATACAAATGAAAAGAAAGAGTGAAAGATTATACGACGAAAAGAATGTAAAAGAAAAAACAATTGAAATTTCGCTTCTTTATTTCGTTCCTTCTGTACAATACATATAACAGAAAAAGACAGACTTGAGTAACTATTCAGTTTGACGTGATAAAAAACGTACCATGCGATGATACAAACAGCAAAACGACAAACGAATAGCTGCACATACTGAAAAGATCAATGAGCGTGTTTATCGAGCATGAATACACGAAAATCAATACGTTGAAGCTATTTTCTGGGAAAATCAAATCGCTGCGAAAGGGTTAAAATCGTTCTTAGCCAAGTTCAAATCGATGACCCTTCCTCGTGCATTATGAGTATTAGCTTATCAATAACAAAAAAAAAAGAAATCAGCAAGTTAATTCCAATTTTGCATTTCACTAAAATTCTTCTTAGTTAAGTCGAAACGAAAATCTTCATTCAATCAATACCTAATGCTAAAGCTTTAAAATGTTTTGATCGTCAAAAGCCAACGTCCTCTACGAATTGCAGCAAACCTGATTAAAACAAAATATAACTTACTTTAAGATCTTTTAAACAAGTTTACTTTGTATATGCGCTTTCAATAATAAAATTTTTCAAAGTAAACTTTTAAATTTGAATCGTTTTACAAAAAGTTAATAAATTATCAACCTTAAGTCAAATGAAATTCCAAGAATTTTAATGTATTTATCTTTATTTTTTTTATGTTCGCAAATGAGAGGTAGCCGAGTGTGTGATTAGACTATTTTTATCGTACCCACACCCACACCCCTGTTCCGACTTATATCAAAGTGTCATGTAGATGATTTCGGGACTTTCAGAAAAATACGCATAGCTCTTGAACGATCCAAGCCACAGATATTGACCTTGTGCAGATTGAAAACAAACGGAGTCTTTTCTGAGAAGAACTTAAAAAGTGACCATTAATACAGTATGATCGAAAAAAGCTCAATAGCCTGTCTATTTTTCTAAACGATAATATGAAATTGGTGATAGTTTTCACCGACTTCGTCGTCTCATAATGACCACTTGGAAAAATGTTCCGTCGCTGACATTGATTGGAACAGAGAAGTTTTGACACAATCAACGATTTATTCCAATGTACGTCATCTGATCATAAAAGATATTGAAGTGGATTCGTCGATGATGGCCTCAGCACTCGTACAATATTTCCCAAATCGTCGTTCGCTTAATAAATACAGATTGCTTTGAGAGTCTCAACATGATACTCGACACTCAGCATTTGTCTTTCATTTTGTGGTGCTCACAACCAACTGGATCGATAGAATAAAACTTATAATATATTGGCTTCATTCAACTTTTGTGTGTAGAGAGCGTGATGAACTACAATTTTAGCCTTATCGAATTGCCTTTATTTTGCTTCAAAGCTAGCTAATCAAATTGTTTTTCTATTTTTTCAAATTTCTGATGATGAGTCATTAGGGTGTGGGTTGGGGTGAGAGCCTTCTCTTCATCCACACCTGACGCTTCAACGCTCATCTCAATGTTCTGAACAGCTCTGTCAGATCGAATAAGTCGGTAAACACTTGGTGTGGACGCTAAAGTCGTGCACGTTTAGAAAAAATAGGAATATAATTAGCAATTCAAATTCCAAGATATTATTTCAGTCAGAGAAATCTATTATTGGATTAATATAGATCGGTAAAATCGAATTAGATTACAGAAAAGAAGTCCATATAAGGAGAAGGAAGAACACCATCGAGAAGCAGCCACTGCTGCTAGTACTACTTGTGTTGGTGCGGCTGGTGCTACTGCTGCGGGTGCTACTCGTGTCGGTGCGGCTGGTGCTACTGCTGCTGGTACTGCTTGTGCTGGTACTGCTCTCATTCTTGGGAACATATGGAGGAGCCAAAATGTTTTCTGTCATCGCGTAACATTTCATATCCAAGCAGTAGCTCATCTGTGATACGTAGAATGTTCCATTTTCGGTCTGTATCTCTAAATCACCCTTGATCACTGCATTTTGAAGTCTTGTGATTATCTCATTGAATTCAACATTACTTATATTGACAGGTGGTATCAACGTCTCATTAACGATGCCAGGTAAGTCAGCAACAAGTAGTTCAACAGCCATTTGTTTGTATCCAGTATGACTCGGCAAAGTTAATAAGGGTATTTCGTAAGCGTACCATCCCCATCGTGTTGGTGGCGCCAATACAATCTTAGCAAGGCTATGAGCAATACGGACTGCAATTTGATTAGATTGATCTTCGTTGAAATTATCTACAGATGTTTGAATAATATCAAGTGTAAGTTTAAATTCTTTAAAGATGTGTCCGAAATCGTTCGCTTCGGTATCCATACTACATTCATTGAATGTATCAATTGCCTTTTGCAATGAACTATAGGCTATTGGTGTCGATGCAATAAATGCCGATTTGAGCGTCCAAAATACTCGTAACCAATCTCGTCTGGTCATATGGCAGATTGATGCAGCTTCTGGATAGGGTCTGAGATAGCAAGGTTTGTATGAAGTAAATGCTTTATCGCGAATCGCTTGGCAATTATAATTAAGAAATGGTCGAACGAATGGAACAAGAGCCATTTGTAAACATTTACGTGCATCATTAATCCACTGTTGTGCCTGACCAGAAAATATGTCTTTATGCTTCGTGTAGAGTTCACAAAATGCTGTTGCATAGGTGAGAACATGCTCAGTCGGGGTGCCTTGGCATGAATATTCGCGTTCGAGACAATTCTTGTACCAATCACAACTTGATCCATCCGGACTAAGGCATTCGGTGGGTAAGGTAGACGCTGGTATTAGTGATGAATCGTTACAAGCGCATGTATCAATTACAAGGTCTCCTTCCAAATAATAGACTTCACGCATACATGGATAGTTACAATAGTTAACTGCTTCATCACCACATTGATGTCTTCCGTGTGATTGCTGTTGGATATAGGTCTTAGTCAAACAAGTGTTCCATTGTTTCTTATTGAAGTTGTTTGCCAAAGAACATTCGATACTTGCTACTGGGCCAGTTTGACTATCACATATTCCATTGACATATGCCACAACACACAGAAGAATAAAAACTACCGATTTAACAGAGATCATAATTGTGTCACTTCGGAGTTGTTATTGTTGTTTTTAGGTGTGCAAATGTTGATAAGGCACTCTCTCTCTCTTGTTATTTGCATTGTCATATTTGAAAGTTTCTCTTTGCACGTCACCTGAAAAAAAACTCGGTCATATCGCATTCAAGTGAAAGGTTCGTTTAGTGCAAAAATGGACTAGAAGATCTGATGAACGTATAAAATAACAATATTTCATGAATTTTTGTTTTTTGATTACGTGTGTGCAATGACAATTGCTATGATTGTCAGAATCAATCCGCCGTTGGTCGGCTCAAGCGCGACGAAGTTAGAAGGCAAATATCGTGCAGTTTTATCTCATTCATCTTTGATTGCAGCTTATCAGTTGAAGGGATGGATCGAGCAACACACCTTTACTATTCAATTTTTAAAAGAGAAGCGCACAGCGCAACAACGACTAAATATCGTTAACTGAATATATTAAACGCTTCTCGAACGCCACTTCTACACTATTTGTTCTTTTGGTGAAGGCACGCGAAGGGTAGCGATAACCAAATGCTCTTATCTTATTTCACGAAATATATGACGCAGAAAAGGCTTGGTGAGAGTGATGATATTGGTAAAGATGCCCGAATTGATTGACTATTGTTCACAGATAAATATCTGAATGAGTGAATATTTTAATCCATTTTTAGACTTTGGTCGTGTTCGCTACTGGCACCATCAATTGTTTTATATAGTTCAGCAGATCCTTACGAGATAATTTGAGGTGGAGATGAGGGCGCAGAGAAGAACCTCACCCCACTCTCAAGTTTGTTAATAAACATGCATGCCCTTAGGGAAAGTCTTCTATATTGTAAAAGTGAGTTTTATACCAAATGAAAGCCCGTGAAAAAAGAGATTTAGGAGTATAACTAATCATTCATAAGATGAGAATCTGGTATAGAATTAAGGAAAATTTCCAAATTTTTGGGGTATAATTGGCCACTTCCATGGGGGAACCCGAAACTTGCGCACTGCAAGATGCGCACGTACAACTTGCGCACGAGATAAAAAAAATATCATATTTACAAATATGAAATTAAATAATCTGATCAATCATTAACTGTAATGACTAGATATAGTCTGTTTGATTATTTAATCTAATTAAAATGAGCTTATGCTCAGAACAAATGTGTCCTCTATATGAGAGATGGTCATTCACATACGAAACATTTTATTGTCAATTCTTGTTGAATATGTTCACTTCTGTCGAATTCATTACTACTACAAAAGGTCGTCCGTTAATGGTATTGGATGGTTTCTCATATATTCAAGATCGTCAAACTGATACAAAAACTTATTGGCGTTGTGAAAATCATAAAACTTTTAATTGTCATTTTCGTATACATACATGTAATGAATCTGTTACTAAAACAATTATATTAGAAGAAGATTCGAATATTCAT